CCTACTAACTATATCTATCTTTATATATCTATATATTGATATAGATATATAAATTCCCCTACTGTGTGTGTGTGTGTGTGTGTGTGTGTGTGTGTGTGTGTGTGTGTGTGTGTGTGTGTGTGTGTGTGTGTGTGTGTGACTTTGGCTGGCTAAGTATCTTGGTTCTGGAGGTTTTTAAACATTTTTTAAAAATCTATCATAGAGAATACTGCCTCATCTACCTAAGTGCAAGAGTCTGCAGCAGAGGCTTTCTTGAAGTGTGTTTTCTAGCTCTAGGTTCTTCAATTCTATTGTTTACTCAACCTTTAAACAGACTGTACTGACTTGGCTGATTTCAAACCTGAGTTGTGATTAACAGCATTATAGGTACTTTTGAATATTATTTTAGATTTGCCATTCTTTTAAAATCTTATTATGCTAATGCATGTACATTAGACATATACCTTCATAAGAACAAAATATACATGCATTATACATCTACCTTCATATGCACAAAATACATATAAACATACATAAATAAGAGTATAATGAAAACAAACAGCTGTGTTGACCACTAGCTTAAGAAAGAAAACAATACCTAATATTTGTGAAGCCTCTGAGGTGCCTCTCTCCCTGACTGTATCCTCCTTCAGCTAATTTTTATATGGATTTTATTTTTATAAGTATTATCTTCTATGAAAACATTTAGTAACTAACACAGGATAGGCATCTCTTAATTATAACAATAAGCTATTACACGAAGGAAAGACTCAAAAACAACTACAGACTGAAACCAATTATTGTGACTTTATTACAATAGTTACAAACAATATTTTAGTTAGTAGTATTTAATCATATCACAATTACTCAAACTATATACAAAGAGGTATTTACACAAGGCTACATTTAAAAAAAAGAAAAAGCAATTAATTACCCCCCAAAATCACATTATCAACAAGATTTTTTCTAAAAGTTATGGCCAATAACAGGAAATTCACAGTTATTCTGAAAATATTTTAAGATGCAGGAATCATATTGCACATAATACAATTATAAATCCTATTGAGTAGATATATATTTTTTAACCTAGTTTTTCACAAAATTTACATTACCATGCAATACTTCACAGTATACAGTACAGTGGAACTAGAACGAACAGCTTAACTTACAAACTTTTAATATGATGGCCACAAAATTTAGAATAATTTTAAAGTTATATTTAAAACAGTTTTAATATACAAAAAAACTCCAGTGTAATAAAACTTAATGGACATAATCATAACTTGTTCACAGATCAAGTCTCTTTTTAGTGTTCTTCTTTGTCTTTTCCTTTCTTCTCCTTTTCATCCTGTAGTGCAGTACCGAGTTTTTTGATAAGAACTGACAGAACCTTGTCCAATGGGTCCATGACTCCTCTTTGAAGCCATTTAGGAATAGTAGTCCTGGCATGATGAAAGCCCAGTTTTTGAAGAATATAATCAACACCTACTGGATCAATCTTTCTTCCAGTCCAAGAAATTAACCTAAAATAATTATAAATAAAATTAGGAGTACAGTGTCCTGATGGTAAGTTCAGGAGGATCACTATGCATCCACAATGTGCTCAAGACAAAATACTTTCAGTAGGTGCATTTGAATAATCTACGATTATTCCTAGATTCCTATGATTCCTAGATTCACTGTAATAACATTTAAAAAATGTGTGATTATCCTTGATAAGCCTACACACAGTAATGGAGTTTAGTGATTTCATTCTGATTCATTTATTTTAGGCCTCAAGCTACAGTCATCTTAAACATTTAAAGGACTTTTGTTTCGGTATAAAAGATGTAAATTAGCTTGATGGGGGAACCCTTTCACAACGTATACATGTATGAAATCACAATGTTGTACACTTAAAATAGCTTCCGGTTTTGTTACTTGCACCTCATAAAGCTGGAAAAAAAGAGTTCAACAAGTATGTGGTATAATGGTAACGAAAAAAGGCTGAATTATACTGAATGTTGGCCATGTGCTAAACATGTTTGAAGGAAGAACCATTTTCTTCCTATTTTTGGTATTTCTTTCCATATAGAGGAACAGACATTCGTGAAACACCCCTGCCTTTCTCTGCTGGCAAATTAACGCAGGAACTGAGTGGTGTAGTTGAGCACCCTCCTCCCTACCTTCTCATAGGAACCATTCATTTTGGTGTTCCTTTATGCCACAGATTTTTCAAGGACAGGCCCCTAAATAGGTGACCCAAGACCATTCATGGCTGCCCGTGACCAGGTAGGTATACTGGGCTGCTGACTACACGACTCCAGCCCACCAACCTCCACAGTGCTGCTTCATCGAGACCCTGCAGGTAAGTCCACACCTGGACTCCATAGTAGACAGCCATTGTTGCTAGACATCCAAACCACATTCTCTGTCACCAGCTTTATCACTGTTAAAACTGTACTTTTGATTTCTAGCTGCCTCTCTCCCACTATTTCAATTAGGGAAGGGGTGGAGGTATTAGGGGTATTAGGTACTGATCTGTTAAACTCTTAATAGTTTTAAGCATTTTGCATTAATTATTTAACCATTATAACAACACTACAAGGTAGATAATACCATTTTCTAAATTTGTCTTATGAGGCAACTGAGGCAAGAGAGGGTATTAGGTCTTTGGGCAATGTCACTCAGCTACAAAGCTGGGCTTGGATGCACTGCTCTTGACCAGGCTTCCACCACTACATCGTATAACTTAACTGGTCTCGTGGTAGTCTGCTAAAACAAGGAATATATTTATGGCAAAATTTAACTATTTTTATGCCCATTGTAAATTGAAAACACAACAGGTCCTCGAATATTGTTTCATCATAACAATGTGGGAACTTCAGTCTCACACCAATTAGCCTATGAGAAAATTGGTTTCGGGATGTGTTGTTTCCCTTAAAGTCACAGAACCAACCTATCAACAGCAAGTGATGATTTACCTAGTCAGTTTCATTCTATTTATTTAGATTTACAAATATAAAACATTTTCCTTTTTTGCTTCTGTTTTATTTTTTTTGATTTTATTAAATTTATTGGGGTGACATTAATAAGATTATATACATTTCAAGTATACAGTTCTATAATACATCATCTGTATATTGCCTTGTGCTCACCACCCAGTCAAGTCTCCTTCCCTCACCATATATTTGACCCCTTTTACCCTCTTCTGCCTCCTGCCAACCCCTCTTTTTAGTAACTACCATACTGTTGTCTGTGTCTATGAGGTTTTGCAAAACAGACTTTCTAAATAGTTTTCTGCATTAGGACCTCTGCAATATTTTATACTGTACCTGCCTATTGACACTGTTAATATTCCTCATGTGCTTATGTGCTATTAATTAATACCCAAGTGTTTTGTCAGTTTGTTTACAACAAATTTCAGTGACTACAAATGACTAACACAAAGTCATTACTTTCTGCTTACACAGAAGTCCACTGTATAATGGAGATCTTGTTAGTGTGGAATTATTTTGGTATAAATATGTGTGAATAATAACCTCATCTGAGTGAAATCTGTATCATTCTGCAGAATGTTGTGGAGTGTGATGCACGTTCTTGGATTCTGTTGTTCCATGACCCAGACAGGTATAATTTGATTAACAAAGCAGATGGGAGGAAAGGGAAAAATAATAGGAATGTTGTGAGTGCTAACCACAAACAAGGACACACAAAAGCACTGCTAGTGACAGCGGCAATTATAAACATAACATCAGAATATACTTTTGAAATTCTGATATGAAAACAAACTGATTAACCAGGATCATGACTGTGCAAGGTCCGGACTCAGTAAAAATCTTGAGTCTGACGCATTGAATTCCACATTTCGGAGTCGTATGGTGACACTGTAGGTTGTGTTACACTGTCATGACCTATGTGAGAAATTGTAGTGGTTCCTTATAATGAGGTGTAACTTCCACTGCATCTTCCCAAACTAAGTAACAAAGCAGTTTACGGTAGCTAACTCAAGATCCTGGAAAGAATGTGCTGGTGAGACAGTGAAAAAATAACAGCAACTATGGAAGTGAAGTTATTCTCATGTTTTAGTGATGGACTGACAGAACATCACACAGTGGACAGCTAAATCAGCACTGAAATAGTCTCAGTTTTTGCTTTTTCTGCTTAGAACACTTACAAAAGCAGAAAGGAGCAGCAAAAATGGCAGTCAGATGTTATAGAGGGTACAAATGACAAATTTCTAAAAATATTTTTTTGTAGAAAGTATTTAATTTGATACTCAATTTAAAACTTTTTTCTCATAATAATCTCATTAGATATAAGTAAATATATACACCTACTACTTCTCACCTAAGAGTGGGTTCTAGATGCCACGTGTTACACATAAAATCTCTCCAGTCCACAGTGGTGTAAGTGATGCCATCTTCTCTGTCTTTCTCAGAGGAGTTCTCATCATGTATAATAACTGGACTTTTCTGTCCTGGTCGAGTGGATAAAATCCGAGGTGGGAAAATGGCTACAATGAAAAGGATAAATTAATATTGCAAGTCTATATCTTATACATTTATTTTAAATCACTACACAAACTGAATAATTGGCGCCATTTATCATTTTATTTATGAACTGGCCAAAACTTCATTTAATTACATTTATTACAAAGCAGTATTTTAAATAGCTATAAATAAATGCCAAATATTGGTATTGCTGGAAGACAATATCAAAGTTATTTTATTATCTTACAATTAGAAATAATATTTTGAGTATAGTATATGTTTTATATATATTTGTGTGTCTAAAACTAATGGTAAAGAATGCTGAGATTTATCTGATAACAGGCATAAGGCACTGAAATTGACAGCTGTAGGTTTCCTAAACAATGGTTGTAGGTGGATCACATTTTAGTTTAACAACTTTATTGAGACACAATTCACCCATTTAACATGGACAACTCAGTTACGGCACTGTAACCACCAGCAATAACAAGCAAAAGCACAGCAACCAAGCAGACACCTGTATCCTTATGTTGGGGACAACAGTTCACTCCCAGTCAGTGTATGTCCCACTGCAAATTCCCAATGAAGTTAGAGCCAGAGCAACACATGCACATAATTTATCTTGATGTTCTAGAAATACTGTTGATTCTGGTCTAGTTTTATAAGCTGTTAAGAATTTTCCCAGGCCCATTTATGTTTATTTTGACCAAAAGTAATTGCTTTTAGTTTTTAATATTAAAATATTTTCATTTATAATTGAAATCCCCATAGATAATAAATCTTTGTTATTGTAAATATTGTAAGTCCAATAATCAATTCCCTATTCCTTGTTTATCCATTGAAACAATGTTTTACAACAATTTATATAAAACAGTATTTTTTTTTTTTTTTTTTAGAAAAACACAAGTTCATGGCAGACCAAAACCAACACAAAAAATGAGTGTTTCACATAATATCTGAGAGAAAGAAATCTGGCAGACTTTCATAGCTAGGTAGATTAGAAAAGAATTCTGGACTTCATAGGTTTATCTAGAATGTTTTTCTCCACACTAAGTTTAAATATTGAGACAGAAAACAAGAGGATTGCCAGTGACTGGTGTGTGTTCGTGCTGTACATGAAAATTGAATTTACTTGTAATGGATATAAGATTTCCTATTATATAGTTTCATTATTTTACTTGAAGTTTTCATAGATTTCTCCTAGCCATCATTATTGATTTTACTCACACTGAGTAAAATTTGGCATATCTAGATTGAATAGTACCAGAAGAGCCATTCAATGTATGCTATGCTGCCTTTGCACTCTTTCAACATGGGCTTTTGATAATCTTTCTGTTTTTTTCACTCAGACATTTATCATGATGTTATTTTGAAATATCTGTAATTCAAATTTTATATTTCTTTCTTCATGAAAAAAATGAGGCAGATTATAGTGTGACCTGAACAAATGACAGGCATACTTCGGTTTATTGTGTTTCACAGATGTGGGATTTTTTTTGCAAATTGAAGGCAAGACCCTCCACCAACAAAAAGATTATGATTTGCTTTATTGTGATGCTCTCTTTATTGTGGGGGTCTGGAACCGAACCTGCATTATCTCTGAGGTAGGCCTGTACATCTATTCCAAGCAGTTTTTAAAAATCACATTTGTTGATTTACCATTATATATTCATGTAGTGGTGCAATAAATATTTACTGAATCAATAAAGACCATGTATTTGGAGAGTATTCCATATCATTGCATTTCAAACCACCTTATTTTAAATAATTCCATTGTATGGACACATCATGACATACTCAACCAATTCCATATGGCTATTAGAGTCACCGTGTTTCTTAACAGGTAAACATTTTAGTTTCCAGTGAGTAAACCAATGGTAGCTAGCTCATAAAAACAAACATGGCTGAGGCCTAAATATTTACAAAGGAAAATGTTCTCTGTATTCTAAACAGCTTTATTTTATTTATTTTTCCCAGTATGTCTACAACTCCTGCTGCTTTATCATGCAGCTGTCCCTTCTGTCATTTCACTTTGACTGGCAACACTTCTTTAAAGAGGTTTCCTTTTCTTTGCCTACTTTGCGACAATCTCCTACAAGGTCAGATAATGTACATTCATATATGGAAACATCTGGAAAGTATCAAACACCATTCACTGTGAGGCATAGTTAGAAAGAGTGCCGTGTACCTAGCAGATACTCAGAAAGCCTGCCAAATAGTCTTAATAATATATTAGTTATATGTATTTCATTAAACTTTATAGAGGAAGGAGACACATTCTGCTCATTTTGTCATTAACCATACAAATCCATATAAATGACAGACAACCACATTTCTTGAAGCTTGAAAGAAAAAAACCCAAACCCCTCCCCAGACAAGAATGTGCTACCCACCTTTTTCTTTTTCTTTAAGGTAAGCTGACACTAAATCATGGAGGAACATGATGAGCTCAGCATCCATAGTCACGCAGATGTGGTCGGTGAACTCCGTCACCACACTACATTCTACCTTCGGCTTCAGGCTGGGATCTGCAAGGGCAACGTCCTTTACAGCACAGATTTCATGAATGAGTCCCTTTCTCACCCCCTAATCAGGGGTGTACATGGATTTGTGTAAATGCATCTACTTAAATGAAACAATAGAGAAACGAGTAGTTTCTGTATGTGATTTACAGGATGATGATAGTTGACTAAGCGCTTTCCAAGAATATGCCATTTATTCCTCAGAAAACCCCTATGCATGAGGTGCTATTATTGGCCCCTATTTTACTGTGGAGAAAGAGGTGCAAATGGATTAAATCATTTGCCAGAGGTCATGTGGCTGGTACAAAAATCAATGTCACCCCGGAGATCAATTTCATCAGCTATATAAATATTACAAAAATGACCTGTGAGAAAACAGCAGTAGTTTGAAGTTCCTCTAGAATTTTCTCAGTAACTTTAGAAACTAAGGATGGTTTTTCCACATACCCTGTAATGAAGGCTCTTGTGGTTCTTGAACATGAATGGATTTAAAGTCAAGCTGCATCCTTGGTAATGCAAAGATAGTCTCTGTTTCATGATTGTAGCTAGAACCTCCTCTGAAGCCACTCAGCAAACTGGAATTCTTCACCATAGTGCTATTCTCAGTGTTATTAGCATCAACATTACGAAGCAGGTTTAGCTCTACATGCATAATAATAAAGACAATAAGAATCGAATTAAACCAGTAGGCATCGATAAGCCTATAGCTTTCAGGACATTATGATACACGGAACTTTTATCATTTCAAAATTTTAAATAATAGTCATATAGAAGCTGTGGTCTTGAGGAGAGTTATATATCTTTATATATGTAGATAGGGTACAGATATATTTATATATATATAGTGATGTTAATATATATGTAGTGATTTGAATTTATATATATACACATATATACACGCACATTAAAATTAGTGATATATTTCACTATTCTCAAGATTGAAGCTTTGTAACAAAATTTTTGATAAATCCAATAATCCAATCCATTTTTTGTTTCTTGAACTTTAATATTATTCTCAACTGAATTCAAGTCTGAATTTAAGAGTTTCATTAATCTCAAAGTTCTCCATACATTGAATACTTTACAGTATTTGCGATTAAATATGATCATGACCTTGAAATCAGGTAGAAGCCCTGATTTTCCCCAACATATGTGCTATGATTACAATATGATTGTCTTATAAAAATTAGCATTTTTCTAGGTACACAGGGTGCAGTTCAATATGCTAATAGTCCTTCCATACCATCCCAGCCAAAAAGGACCCTCTCCCCGCGAATCTCTACTTGGAAAGTGGAATAGTCAATACACACATAATCTAATTTGCTTCTTAATCCTCCTTTGTGCTCAGAACATTTCTGACACTCTCTAATACCTGGGGTTACCTAATCCATAGTAACTATTTTCCAGAGGGCCCAAGTCATCTTTTCCATTTTGAAAAGTCATTTTTGAGTAAAACATTGAAATTTTAACATGTCTCAATCTAGTCAGCTTTCCAATACAAATGAAATGATTGGTAAAAGCAGTACTCTAAACTCTAACACAAAAACAACCCCAAAATAAAAACTGTCACTGACCACAATATTACAAGACTGGTAAATCTAATCAAATGAAGAAAGTTATCAGAACCACTCTCTTTTAACTTATGACTTCATAGGAATTATATGATTTGGTTTCATTTTAGTCCATCCATCCAAGTTTATAGCATTCTATTACTTAGTTGTGTAATAACTCTCCAAACCTACAATGTTTAGCATTAGTACGAAAATATTTTTCCAATTATCATAAAGTAAACTTAATTTCATTTATTTAAGCCAATTTTGTTTTGAATGTTCTCAGTTGCATCTAAAATAATTCTAGTCTATGAGATGATTTCACCACCCTGGTAATGAAATAAGTACTAATATTGTTACTTATGTCAGCAGGAGTAAAATGAAACTTGTTTAATTGAAGAAATGAAAATTCTCCCTCCACTTAAATTCTAAACACTGTCAAAAGAGCTCAAAATAGAAAAAACAAAATAAATCTCTCCAAAAAAATCAAACTTTGAACCTTCATTCCTCGTGGCTGTAACATAATTGAACCACTCTTTCACACTCGCGACTCCATGGGGCGGGTTTTCATGGCGGCGCCTCGTTATCTTGGTTATTGTAGCCATGGGGCTTTCCAAAGCTCCACATGGTTTGGTAACCATGGTATTATGGCCCAGGTGAAAATCCAATGTTTGTACGATATATGTAGAATGATCACTAGCGCCTAGAGGGAAGAAAAAGTTTCTTAATGTAACAAACTATATTTAGATGCAAGAAAACAGTGGTGGCCTTAGAGCAGCGGTTCTCGACCTTCCTAATGCCGCGACCCCTTAATACAGTTCCTCATGTTGTGGTGACCCCCAACCATAAAATTATTTTCGTTGCTA